CCACAAGAAAGACAGACTCTCCCAGGCCAGCACCCATCTCTTGTCCATGTGTCCCACCCTTCAAGAAGAGAGCACTGTCTAGTCACGGAGGTGACAGTGGGTCCCCGAGAAGTATCCAGTTAAAATCTGCTGTATATTTGCCAAGGTCTTCCCTACAGGCTGTGGGTTTTTTTCCTGTAACTCCCAGAGGAGAAAACCCCCTCTTGCCAGAAGGAAATGCTAGCTCTCATCACTCTGATATCTGTGCTACTGGCCCAAAAAGCACAACAGGGCAGTGACACTCGGTCTCTGCTTCCAGGGAACATCTTGCGCTGGAGCAGAGAGCAGGTTTGGTGGTTGTTCCAGTTCCCCATCACATGCCAAGTGTCAGTACAAACCATTGCTGCTATCACTCAAATATTTATTACTTATCACTCAAAGGTACTGCCAGCCCCACACCCTCAGCACTGCACAAAGGCCAACACACGGTCTCTCTCCCAGCAAACTCAGAGGGTGAGCCTCAGCCAGAAGCTGCCATCACCTACATTATGGCCACTCACCTACATTGCAGCTCTGCCTCCTGCCTTCCTCCCATTTACAAGAGTTAACAACTGCAGTCCTTCCCCCCCCCATCTGCCGATATAACCACCAGCAGCCCAGTAGGAAACAAAAAAGCATTGTCTACACGACCCTGAGGCTGCAACACAACTGCGGTGGGGAGAGGAAGAGTTTGTGGACGTGCTTGCTCTTGCGCTCATCTTAACAGGTATGTCCCTGCTTTGATCCACTTCTTTCAGAAAATGAACATTAAAATCATTTTCATCAAGAGAGAAAACTGGAGCAGAATCAGGGACCAGAGCCATTTTGACAGCCTGTTTCTTTCTCTTTGGAGAGTAACCAACTTTCAGATGAGTGCTAGAGCATGCATCGAACCTGCTCAGCAGATAACACAACAAATCCCTGCTAAGGCTAGTTACCAACACAATTGTCATTGATCATTGCTATGGATTTCACCCCCTGCCAGCCAAGCTCCCTCAGCTCCTTCAAGCCTTATTCTGCAGCCTTTCACATAGCTCTGGAAGGGGGTGGACTTTTGGCTCTTTTGGACTTACAGACTGGACTGCCAGAAGCACTTTATCCACATCAGGACTCTTCCCACGAAGCAGCACAGGTAGCAGACAAGTGAGATTTCCCACTACTGGTTGGACTGCAATGGCTTCCACAAACACGGGGACAAAATCTTTTCATCCAGTACTGCCCTACAATTCCACAGCTGACAGGGAGGCACCTCCACCTCCACTCCTCTGCCTCTCAACCCCCTGGCACAGATCTCTGCATCTCTCAGTTTTGGTTTGCTTTTCTTGGGTTTAATCATCAGAACTGTGCCTACTGAGATAAGGTATTGCCCAGCATCTATGATCCATAGAAGTGGCTTTGGTCTGAATATCTCAAGTTGACCCAGTTTATATTAAACAGAAGGGTAAAAAGCAAATAGCTCTGTAATTAAACCTTTTTAATTTTTAAAGAGCAGATCTCTGGCGTATCAGGGAGAACATTTATAAAGCCAAAAAGAACAAAGAGCTTGGAGACGTACTGCAGAAAAGACTTTGAATGTACATCATAAGTAAAAAAAAAACATCTGGAATCACCAAGCAAGGTGAGGAAATTAGAAGAGCAGGGCTCCTGACCAACCTGAATGAATAAGCACACCAAGGATATTAGAGGTAAGTAAAACAGCATCTTTGGTGCTGTTTTGGCAAGAAGAATATTGAAGCTGCGGCGACGACAGGTTAGATAATACAGAGGAAGGAGGGTGCAGAAAAGGAAATGAGCTTTTGAAGAGGCAACAAATTCAAGAAGATGAATGCACTCAAGTCAGAGGGATCAAGAATATCTTGATATCAGAACAATGAAAGAATAGTTGCATGATTGCAGCTGGCAACAGGGCTTTTGATAAAAATACCTGTGAGGAAAGAGAGGAAGGAGGGGAAGCTGTGTGGCTGGCAAATAATAAAGGTGAAGTCTGCACCTGTTTCGAAAGACAAAGGAAAGTGATTTCCCGCATTAGATTTATCAACCTGCCCTTAGTACTACATAAGGCTTTCAGAAAACATTGGAAAAGAATAATAAGACTGGGAAATAAATGAAAACTGGGGCAAAGCACAACATGGGGTTGCAAAAGGTGGGCTACTGTCTGGCTATCAGGAATAATACCAGCATGAGATCTTGACTCACCAGGAGCATCAGACTGGAAGAAAATTAAGATCTCTGGGACAAAGAACTCATTTTTTGTTTGCTATCACAGCCTCAGACACCTGAGAGGCGGTAATGGAGCCGTGGGCAGGGCATTCCCAAGTCCACAGCATATTCTCCTGGGCTACCTGCACTTTCTGCAATGCAGGTCCAGGTCCCTTGGATCCAGAAAGCCAGATGCATTTTATCTCCAGCATTCTGCATCAGTGCAGCGAGGAAGACACACAGCAGCAATTATATCTCCTTCCTGTGAATTACTTCGGTCAGCTCCAGTAACGAGAACCTCTTGCCCATCTTTTAAGCATCTCAAGGCAGAGATTACCTGTGCACTCTCACTGCTTAACAGATGCTCTTGTAAGAGTGGCACCTACTAGCTAGGCACAGCCTGTATGTCCTGGGGAGCGTTCCCATCCCACACAGCAAAGGAGGCTGCATCACCTTCTTTTTATTCCTTTAGGCAAGAATCATACACACAAACTATACACAATTTTTCTTCCACACCCTGACACAAGTATGGGTATCCTGCATAGGTATGTCCTGTTGCATGTCTTGTCCTCCAGCCCACAATGCACCTACAAACACACACGTGCTGTTGTTACCCACCACCAAGCTCCTGCAGGAGCCTGTTCTGCAGCAGCACCACAAACGCAGTCTGGTACACACCTATAGGAGCAAATCCCGCTCCCTGCTCCCATCGGGCTGAATGGGACAGAGACCTGGAGACACCGAGAGGGCTCCCACGTCCCAGGGCAAGATAGGGAGCTGCAGTTCAGGAAGCCCTATGGTGCCTCCAGGACACTGTCACAGAGCTGCGAGCAGAATGCACTCTGCTCTGTGGTTTTGCTGGAAGGCCTCTCCTTCCCACCTGGCACCCTGCACTGAAACTCTGGGTTTATCTTCTTCACTGGGTGTAAAGGCCAGAGAGCCTTGCCCACTCCATCGGGATGGAGAGGGAGCAACCAACTAAGAACCTGCAGCAGCAAAATGGTTCCTTCAGAAAACTGCTGCAGGCTGTGCTGAGGATGGCTCCTACCTCCACAAACCCCTTGGGGCCGCACACAGCAGTGACCATCTCAGAGAACACAGTGAGAGGCTGGAGAATGACAGTACAAACAACACATTTACATTCCCTGACAATGACATCCCTGAATTTCCTCCCCCATGCCCTCTACTGCTAGTCTCTGACCCACAACCCCCTGTTCCTCCAGCTCTGCAATGCCCCTCACACCTGCCTCTTCTGCTCCACAGTTCCTCTACAGCTCTGCCAAACATTTACCGTTTTATCTACATTTTTCCTACCATCCTGTTGCTCCTGACAGGCCGAAAGATGCTTTATCTGAATTATTCTTGAGTCACTGGAAAACTGCAGAAAGCTTTTGTGAATAGGTTAGGCCTGCCAAGCTCGCTCTTTAGCAACACGGGTATATGAGGCTGTAGGTGTTTGGAGGTAAAAAAGCAGATCTCTACTTCCCCCATACTCCGTCCACCTTTACAACACCCATCAATCCAGTCCCTGTATGATCTGTTCCTCAACAGCCAATGCTAATGTAAATCTCATTAACACTGCATTCCCCTAAAACACCTGCAATTGCAACCCCACATGCTCAGCATCTTCCATAACCCCAAAAGATTGCATCTGCTATTTGCTTATTCCCTTTTGTTACTACATTCCCATGTATACCCCTACAGCCACATCACTGTACCACACATACGGAAATCTCATTCCTTTATACCTTTGCCTTATTGTTCTCACTGACTGTCCTCCTGAACATTGCCTCTCCGGCATCTATACCCCTATCCCACATATACCCTTCTCTTTGTTCAACCCCTTCTCCCTTCGTGTTTGCAGAGGCAATTTGATGGAAGGATTTGTGCAGAGGGTGGGGGAGGGAAGAAGAAGGAAGGCAGGGAGGAAAAAGAGGGATTTGGCTATGACAAGACCATGTAATTAAGCTCTAGTAACTGGTACCCAGCCTGGACCCCTCATTTCAGTAATTAAAAATAGTAATGCCTCCATTCCTAGATAACCTTTCGCATCCGATCTGTAAAAAGAGGCAGGGAGAAAGCATCCATTTACACAGCCAGCACAGACACACCCTGGGCAACACAAAGGACTCCAGCCTGCACAGAGCCCATGTGTCTCTTAGCAGAAGAGTAACGTTTTACCTGCCACAATATTTTACCCTAATGCCTTTTGAGCAATTGATTTACCAGTATTTAGAAAAAAAAAAAAAAGAAAGAAAAAAAGCCAAAAGCCACACTGACAGCAGCCTTTCCTCTGTCTGCGTCTTTTGTTTCTGGCTTTTCATGGAAGCGCTGTCTGTCAAAACAGCTTTTGAGCTGCACAGCAGCATCACTGCCAGGGATGCACAGAAAGCATGGTAGCTGATGGGACCAAAACAATCCGTGTGGGCTTGGCTGTCATGGCAGGCACAATGGAGAGCTGTGCGACGGCATTGTTGGGGCGAAGCACGGCTCGCCTCTGCACAACCAGCCCCGGACATGACAACTGCTATTTCATAGCTACAATGGACAAACACACATTCTGCACAGCAATACCAGCCTCCTCACTCGCTTACATCCATTATAATCACAGCAGCTCCGAAGCAATGCAGCCTCTGAAGTGACAAAACAATCCTAAAATCTTTTAAGCTTCATCGGGTAGCTGGCAATCTCTACAAAAACAAACCGGCCACTTTGCAGGACAACGAACGGCCTGAAAACCATCAGTATGACTAACGCCCACCCCGATCATTTCTCCATCTCACCTTTCCACAGATCCTCCGTTCCCCGTCTCCCCTCACTGAACACGCTCTGCTCCGGCACTGCTGAGCACTCGGATTCCAGCAGGCTCTGTGCTCTCTCACCAGGATGCTGTGGGAAACACAAAAGTAAAATTTTTTTTTTTATTTTTTTCTTCCCACAGCTGCATCCGTGGCAATGCAGAGGGTCTGCGCAATCACATCTCCAATGCTACTGCTGCTGCTGCTGCTGTGACGTTGCTGCGTGTGAAGGAGCAAGCATGCCCACAGCACCGCCGCTCCGGCTTGCAATCAGTCCCTGTGGGACCTCAGACAAGGCAGGGGATGGGAGGGAGCATAGAAGGAGAGCAGGGGAGATAAGTCGAGCTGGAAGATGGAGGATTGATTCTTACAGGAATTGGGAAATCAGGAAGATAGCATAAGGAGAAATAAAAAGACTAAAGCTTATGCCATAAAATAGAGCACCTTATTCTGTGATGAGCTTGGGTTTCAGATGTTGCATGGTTGCAAGCTGCCTGATCTTATCTCCTGGCTTTGCAAAGGAAAGCAAAAGGAACCGGAGTGCTGTGTTCCTACCGTTGATAATGGCAGCCAGAGCCCTTGGAGATAACATGCCAGTCTGCAAAGCAACGCACAGGAGGAGGATGGGAGGACTTATTACTGAGAGATCAGGAAGACTACAAGAAGCTTCTTGAAGCTTCTTTTACGTTTCTGCAGTGCCTCGTCCTAAAGAGTTTCACCAACAATATCTACACAGCACCCCTGAAACACAGCCACCCGTGGAGCAGGATGCAACCACCAGCACTTCCCCCGGTGCCAAACACACCTGCAGGGACAGGATGGCTGAAATCCCTGCTGTCACAGGGAATCTCAAATCAAGATCCCAGCAACTATTAACTACAGCTTGTGATTAAAGTGCTGCCCGTAACCTGGGCTAAATCCTGGCACCTCTGCATAGCAATCCACGGCAGATCTTCCTTCCTGAAACAAGGGATCACCACCTGCAAAAGCCCAGGCTCTCTTGCTATCCTGGGGCCATATGAAAGGATTTTTCCATCACCCCCTTTAACCAGAAGCAGCTGCAACCTGCTCCATAGGCAAGTCAGTGCAGTTCCTGACAGGGCACAGGTAGCTTCACCAAGGGACACACGTGGCTACTTCTGTTTTTCTACCACAGTCTGGGCATGACCACGCACCCCAGAAACTCAGCTGTGCTCCAGGCTGTGCCAGGAGAGACGTTTCTAGCGCTGGAGCGGCTGCCCTGAGACATCCATCCTGGAAGGACCACTCACATTACGGCACTTTGCCATTTAGCCCTGCTCCTACAGCCACCACCATGCGCTGAGCTAAGCAGAGCTCAGAAAACGGAGTGTCCACATTGGAAAAAAGCAACCCCAACGAGCCCGAACCAAACCCCATCTCCTAAACTGAGGGGAGCAGGTAAGTCAGAGAAGAGGTAAAAATGTCACACAGACACACAGTTCAAAGAAATGAGGAACTGTCACATGCCTGAGTACTTTTTGCTCTCTGCCATGATGCACCCAAAGCAGCAACCAAATAAAACAAATACAACAGCCCGGACAATACAAGACTTTGCAGAAGCTTCTGCCTCTGGAGAGGCCAACATAAAAAGCTATGCCAGAAAAATGTTAGACTCATTACCGGAAGTGGCTGCCAATTCTCTCAGACCCCAGACCACCAGAAACTTTTCAAATATCTCTTCAGGTAACATTCAAATGAGATTTCTGACTGAAAACCCAGTGGCTGGTGGGTGGCTCCCACAAAGGGCTCCAGAGGCAGGAGTGCAGGACTCCCCCCGATGCAGAGAGACCCTTCCACCGAGAAAAGAGAAAGGGCCCGGGGCTGGCTGTGGGCTGTGCAGCCCGTTTGCAATGCACTGGTGCCAGCATTGCAGATGCGGCTCTGCTACTCACCTCCGAAACACTGGGAACGATCCCTCAGCCCATCCCAAAGCTCAGGCTCCGCAGGTCCTTCCCGAGAGGCCAATGCATCTGCCCCATCTGTGGTACTTCACGCTCCCCAGCCCACTGCTTGCCTTTCCTTGCATGCCTGGGACCCGCATCACCACCGTGTCCTGTTCAAGCAGCAGGGACAAGCCCCAGGGAGGATGCAGGAGCGAGGGACGTACCTCCATGCCTGGCCATCACAGCAAGCAGAAAGCTAGTCCTGGCAGGCTCTGCTCCACCCAAGCAGCATTAAATGAGACTATTTACTGTACTCCCATTAGCCTGCAGCCCCTAGACCCCCATATGGCCAGTCCCATTGTATTGTCAGCATTAATTAAGGCAGGCTCAAGCAGACTTCTCTGGCCTCTTCAGCTGGGACAGTCGGGGAGCAGCAGCAAGGAAGGAGACAGAGAGTCTCAGCTGTGGAGCTCTGTGCAGAACAAGGAGCGTTTGTTACCCAGGAGACTCGTTCCCACAGGAGAGAGAAGAATGGAAACTATTTCGATGCCCTCCCCAGTCCTCCACAAGCATTGCCAATGCTGACGCCAGGAGGTATAAATGCTGGCAGGCTGAGTGCTTGCCTGCAACCCTGTCCCTGCCACAGGACACTGGCATTAACCAATTCACTGACAGCAGCAATGCCTGCCTTGTGTAGCAGACAACGCACACCAGAGCAGATGGAGTCAGGGGGCTGTTTTGTTAAAAATCAGACAGAGCAATGCAGCAGAAAAGGGGCTCCCTGAGAAACACTCCCATTCACATATCTGTTCCCAACATAAACATTTGTATCCTCCTCCCCAAAAGACGTTCAGCATGTTCCCCCCACCCCAAGCTCACGTGGCCTTGCACCTCTGCAGCAAGCACACCTTTGCTGCATCTCCCTCCCAGGATCTGCCCCTCTTAGCAACAGTGGAAAAAACTGATGTGCTGTCCCAAAGCTTCGTAGGTAAGTAAGCGATTACAGGCGCTAATGGGGAAGAAGAAAGCTCTTTCTTGGGGACTGTCTTCTAGGAGATGACTTCTCTTTGATCACAGAGATGAGTCGGTGCGAGAAGGGGAGCATGGCTGACTCCACAGTCCCATGCAAGGAGGGGAGCAGCAATACTGCAGGCTGGTGACTGCGCTCCTTAGAGAAGCAAGGTGAGGGAGATGGAGATGCCAGAACATGCCTGCCCCTACAGTAACAGGGGTCCCTGTCACGCGTGGCCTGGAGAGGTAGGGATAGGTGCTTCCCACACTCCCCAGCACTGCGGGGTGCAGCTTCGCAGGAGAAAATTGCTTATCAAGTAACGTCAGTCTCATTACTCACAGGCATCCTGGGTGTCAGGCAGGGTTTTTGCCATCTCGCCTCCTTCCCCCTTGCTCCAAGGGTGTGAGAACTCAATGCACAACACGTTCTCCCACCCATGAATTCCAGTAAGGAGGCGCATCCTGTTCCCAGTGCTGGGCTGCAGCAGAGCTCACCACTTCAGGGGGGCCCCATGTGCTGCACTCACACTGGACACGAGCTGTGTGTGTACAACAGCGCTTGCTGACAACAACCGGGACACAAATAGATCATCTAGGTGGAAAAAAGCCCAACACATTTTTGTCTTGGCCTCGGGCTCCTTCCTTCACATACCATGTGGGAATTGGCTGCTAAGGTAAGCATGCCCCCACCTACAAGAACGAAGAAACCTTTCCACTTTTACTGCAGTTGTACAGCAAAATCATCCACCAGCAACCCAAGCCTCCCACCTATTCACTGCAAATCTGCTCCGGTGATCTGTGAACTGGAAACAGCTCAGCCCCAGATTCCACCCGGCTGCCTGGGCTGTAGCTCTGACACCAAGCACCGCGCAGGAACAGGTCTTTAACCACCCCTCACCGTCAGGCATGGTGCACAATCTGACCACCCTCGCAGCAACCAGACAGCCCCAGGGCTGCTGCCTCTCCACCGCAGCTCACAGCTATAACCCTGCACAGGGAGCAGCCTGCTGCCTCCTCCTAAAGGATGGATATTTTGACCTAGCCCTCATTACCTTCGGTGTGTCCATGCCTCTCAAGCAAACAGAAGGTGGTACGAGCAACAGCAAGCTCATTGCCACAGCGGACAACCTGTGCCTTGCTATCTGCTGGTGCAAACAGCACAAACACGCCTAGGCTACAGCTTCTGGCTCACCAAGACCCCATTTGTAGCAGGGCCACAGGGGAGGGACATTTTCACT